GGTTCAGCAAAGTCATTCTGTCTAAATGGAAAAGCCCTGATCTGGAAACTGACTCAAACTAGCGCTGGGTTTTATTGGTCCTCAGAAAACATAACAGTAGTATGGGATAGTGCCCAAAAATATCATTCTAGCACTGGTGCAGTTAGTAGCACTCCCAGATTTCTGTTAGAAATGCTCAGATGCTATATACTTAGTGGTGAGAGCATCTTGTTCTCACCTGGCGGGATGGAACTTGCGCTCGTCCTCTGTGTCGGTGTCACTATGAATAGTAATGATGCTGACCGCTGGGCTGGGTGTGTCAGAGATAACGATTGGTTGGGACAACATGGCGCTGGAGCTGGGTGGGGTCACACCACTACTGCTGAGTAATGATGCAGCAGATATACCCCTAGACAGAGAAACAAAACATCTTTTGAATTTCGCCCTGAGGACAGTGTGATTTTAGTTGAAACATAAAAACATTACAGGACCATGCAAAAAGAACCTGCCATGAGGAAAATCTGGTTAAAATCTACTAGACAGAAAACCAAAGTTACAATAAAATGACTGATTTTCTACAAACTATATAATACCACATCTACTCCAATGAGAAAGAAAAAAAAAAAAAAAGCATCATCTGTAGAAAATATTTTTAACTGGCCACTATGATGGCCATACCATAATCGCTTAGGCAATCCTGGATTTGCCTAAAGGTTTGCTCAGTATCTTGTTTTAGTTAGAGGCTGTTCTGTTTATAACAAGATACTTGGTTTTGTGAAATCCGTTCACATAACATGATTTTTCTCATTATTATGACTTATATTAAATACAGTATTACTGTATTTTCTCCTTATAATGACATTTCATTTTAGTGGCCGTCTCAGCCGGCTGGGTTTTATGATCTGTTGGTACTTTGAAGTTTTCCACTGTGTAATATCAAACTTCTGGTAGGTCTGCCAGCGTGTGAAAGCTGGAAGGTTAAATAACAGTTTGAGGGGCATGGGTAGTGAGACGGTGAGCTGAAACATTTTGCAACTTCATAATTTAAAATATATTTTTGCCTTATTGACTGAAGAAGCATCAAATAGCTGCAATATCACACACACCGATCCAGTGGATCAAGCCACCTCATGACAGCAGCATGGACCAACTTTACCTACTCTCAGGAATGACTGCAAGATGTGGACATGTGCAATTATTATTTATCGCGGCTCATAAGCTGCTTTCATATGATGTTTTGTTTGCCCATATGTAAACTAACGTAAACGTGGATTTCAGTGATTCTCAACAACGCTGCAGCAAAGTTAGAAAAATATTCACATTCAAACAGAGATGACGTCTCCCTCCAACCATAGTAAAGTAAAAACAAGCCACCCTACAACGACCCTACAACGGCTGCAAAATGCATCGTATATGGTTTAACAATGCTTTGATTATGACTTATTGATCCAAGAACTTGGAATCCTGGGCAGTAGGGTACCATATGCAGAAAAAAAGCATGTACACACTGTCACAAGTCTGCGAGCACTCGTTTATGAAAATTTGTAAATGTTCCCACTCCTAGTGGAAATGTCTTTAAATCATAAACAGTAAATGAGCTACCATTTAGTGCAACAGCCTAAACATCTGATTAGAAATCAGACAGAAAAAACTTCAGGGCTGCACCCAACCTGTTTCTGTTCTCTCCTCCTCT